GGTGCACCCGATATTATAGTATATGTCACGTATACTATAATATCGGGTGCACCCGGGTGGGGAATCGGAACACAGCCTTTTTAAGAATTTTTAATATGTGATTGTATAGAAATAAATATAAATTTTTTATGGACATAAATATGGAAAAAACTAAAAATTATTTATACTATATATATATGTTATGCAGAAAAATATTCAACATAGAGAGAAACAAAAATCTTTCAGTCGATTATATAGATAAAAATAATTGACATTTTTTTTTATCTTTAAGATTATTTAATTTAATAGTTTTACTTGGTAATATCAAAATCCAAAACTTGTTCGTTTCTCTAAAAGAGTTACAAAAACACCTCAGCATTTGGGTGAGTAAATTTTAATGTAAAAATAGATACAATCTTCAAAAGTCTTTCTGCGAGAATAAATTGAAAATTTATATATATTTAGTATCTTGGAAAATTGTCCTATAAATACCAAATAAAAATAATTATCTGATGACAAATAAACCAAGGTTTACGTTATTACATTGATGTGTTATTTATTATATAATAACCCACTTAATTGTCTATTAAGTTTGTTACATAACTGATGTGAAATTCATGAGAATGATGCATAAAATATCAAAAGAATCAAAAGTGAAAATAAAGGAAAATAATAAATGTGTAGCTAAGAGAGTTCTATTTGTTTCTGTCTGAAGTATCTGATATGATAACCATAATCTTCAGAATCTATAGTCCATATTAATACCATGTATATCGTTAATATTATCGCCAATAATATTCGATCCATACTGTGAAAAAAGAAATTATATCCATTAATGTAAAATTATTTAATTTTAACAACTAACAAGTAATAAATAATTAGCACATAGATAATTATTAACATATCAGGTCTACCGGAAAGTTCTGTCCCCGTTTTTGGAATAAAACAAAATACAAATTTTTATTACCGTCAATAAACTTTATTAAATAATGTAATTGCCATTATTCGGAGAAGTATTGTCAGCAACTGGATAATTTAAATACAGCAGTCCAAGAAAAGAGGTCGGCGATGTTCAATAGGAATAACATCATACTGCACCATGATAATGCCAGGCCACATGCTGCTTTGGGTCTTCATTTTTGAATTTTTTGCCCCTCAAAAAATTTTGTAAGGACAAAAACAAGTGATAGTCGGTGGGTGCTAAGTCCGGGGAATATGGTGGATGCGACAGAATTTTCCAGCCTAGTTCTGCAATTTTTTGACGAGTATCCAAAGCAGCATGTGGCCTGGCATTATCATGATGCAGTATGATGTTCTTCCTATTGGACATCGCCGGCCTCTTTTCTTGGACTGCTGTATTTAAATTATCCACGCTGGCAAGAAATCATTAATAATAATGGCAATTACATTATTTAATAAAGTTTATTGACGGTAATAAAAATTTGTATTTTGTTTTACTCCAAAAACGGACAGAACTTTCCGGTAGACCTAATATATTTGGAAGAGATAATTATAATAACAGTTGTAATAATACCTGAATATATATAATATTTTATTAGTCTAATAAATTAACTTGCAAAAAAAAAATATTTAATAAAAATATGCTTTTTCTCTTTCTTTACTCTCTATTTCTTTTATCTCAAATTTTTTATATATTAACTTTTATATATTAATTTTGTGTATATGTTTGTAATATATATATTCTTATATACACATGCATGCGAGCACACACACAAATATAGTGTAAAATTTTACATAATAAAATCTTTAATCTTTTATTATATTTATTCATATTTTTTCTTTCCCTTTTTCATCTTTATATCTTAAATTTTGGATTTTTTAAATATGTTATATATGTATGTCTCTCCTATGTGATAGAATTACAAAAACAATCATACAAATGCAAAGGATGAAATTTGATTTTATAGAATTTTACCTCATGAAAGGATAGATCCATAAAATAGCGAGAAATCCAATGAAACTAGGATGTCTCATATGCCTCATGTATCTGCGCAGCTCCTTGGATTTTGTATCCAATGGACTATTCTTTCCAGATACTCTGTACCAAACCTGTTTGAATCCACATAGTTCTGCAATGTCCATCATGATACATCCACTGTAAATAATACACCAAAAAAATACATGGAGACCAGAAAATAGTATCCAAATTGTATCATTGGAAGTGTCAATCTTCCAGACTGTTAGTGCTGGAGATTGCTGCCACTTATTAATCAGGAAATGAAGACTTGCAGAGCTGCAGGCATTGTAAATACTTCTGCTGAGATATTCAATATGTAGTTTAAAGAAAATATGTTTGGTAAAGTCATTGGCCATAATGGAGTGTTGAAAGATGAAAATTGTAAGGAGTAACATGTCTATTAGAAGGGACCACAAAGTAGACTGTATTGCGTTATCATCTAGAAAAGAAATAAAATTATATATAGGTTTAATTTTGCAGAAATTATTAATAGCAAAAAGTGTGTTTTTAAAAATAACAAATGTGTGTTTATACACACACACATACATGCTATATATATAATAGGATATATTTTTTAGTTATTCTTAGTTTGTGCAGCAATTTATATTAATAGTAGAAACAATTTATAGAGAGAGAGAGAGAGAGAGGGTGGGAAAGAGCGAGCTGATGAATTAGTCTTCGTTCGTCTCCCGTCAATCGCGCCCCAAAGGGATTCTCCCTCCGTCGCAGGACGATAAGTCGGTAATCGTCGTACTTACACCGGTTCGCTCCTGCACAGCGTAGATGCAATTAGCGCTTGATTTGTCGCTATTTCTATCTCGTTTCACAACCGCCTGTCGGTTGAGGCGATCCAAAAAGCTTAGAGAAACGAGCGGAAGGTCCGTTGATCCCAAAGGTATCCGGCGTGGCCATCTTGGAGACCGCGCTCTCGAGATCTTCCGGCAAAAACGTGTCGCGTCGGCGTCGAGAGCGTAATTGCTCGTGACCTGCACACCCGAGTATTTTGCTATGACGTGCGCGGAATACATAGCGCCAATGAAATTGCTGAGATAATTGGCTCCTTGTCGTCGCGCAACGCGCCATTGTCGCGCATCTCTACATCGACGACTTAATACGTCATCAAGCTATGGTTCTTCTTCGAACTGCCGCATTACCAGTACAGGCGAAATTAACACGATTCTCTTTTAATCCTAACGACAAGCATCAAAGATTTTATGATGCTGTACATTATAAAATAAATTCTAAAATTTTAATGAAGATTATAAAAAAGTATCATTAATAATTTATATGTAATTTTTTATATAAAGAAGCTAAAAAGACTATAAATCATTACGAGCATATTGTCTCAAAACTTCAATCATAACAAAAGTTCTTATATTAACTTCTAAAGAAAATGCTTATATAATAATCTCTGCATATATAACTGTGATAAAAAACTAAAATAATTGAAATAAATTAAAATAAAATCAGATAAATCAACATTGTCTAATATTAATATTATTTCTTTTCAAATCTTAAGCAGTGTAAAAGAGAAATATAATTATTTACCGCAGTAAAAAATTTCTCTACTGAACTTCAAAGCGTATCATATAAACATGAGACTATATCGATTTTGCTTTTAATTTTTCGTCTTTCTTAATGGTCGAAGAAATTTATGGCAGCTGCGAGACTGTTGGTTCAACAGTTATGTTAACGAGAGCGTAAATTGATTTCTACATGAGTGTAATGTCGTAAAGAAAAAAGGCGCGTTTATGTGAGCGTGCCGTCTGGGTGTTTTCTCAGTGTGTTGCCGTGTCGATTATTTCAACCCCGAATTCCTCACACAAGAAGAAATAAGGAAGTGCGCGACCGCCCCGAGAACGCTCAGGCTCTATCTAAAAACGCTCGTGCTCTCACAAATTCCGTCGACATATTTATGCCGGCACGTAAAGACGACGCCCAACGTATGCAAGCACTTTGCTACCGAAGGGACAGCCGATATTTTTAGACGCCATTGACGAGGTCGGGAACTGATTTGTAGTGATCTTAACTGTAGACAAATGCGCGCTGAAGGATCGTGTATCTATTGCTTCTTAGCGCCTGAATAATCACTGGGTATATAAATAAACGATACTATTAGGTCTACCGGAAAGTTCTGTCCGTTTTTGGAATAAAACAAAATACAAATTTTTATTATCGTCAATAAACTTTATTAAATAATGTAATTGCCATTATTCGGAGAAGTATTGTCAGCGACTGGATAATTTAAATACAGCAGTCCATGAAAAGAGGCCGGCGATGTTCAATAGGAGGAACATCATACTGCATCATGATAATGCTAGGCCACATGCTGCTTTGGGGACTCGTCAAAAAATTGCAGAACTAGGCTGGGAAATTCTGTCGCATCCACCATATTCCCCGGACTTAGCACCCTCCGACTATCACTTGTTTTTGTCTTTACAAAATTTTTTGAGGGGCAAAAAATTCAAAAATGAAGAAGATATGAAACAAGCACTGGTTCAATTTTTCGTATCAAAAGATAAAACATTTTTCGAAAATGGGATATACAAATTGCCCTCACGCTGGCAAGAAATCATTAATAATAATGGCAATTACATTATTTAATAAAGTTTATTGACGGTAATAAAAATTTGTATTTTGTTTTACTCCAAAAACGGACAGAACTTTCCGGTAGACCTAATATATTTGGAAGAGATAATTATAATAACAGTTGTAATAATACCTGAATATATATAATATTTTATTAGTCTAATAAATTAACTTGCAAAAAAAAAATATTTAATAAAAATATGCTTTTTCTCTTTCTTTACTCTCTATTTCTTTTATCTCAAATTTTTTATATATTAACTTTTATATATTAATTTTGTGTATATGTTTGTAATATATATATTCTTATATACACATGCATGCGAGCACACACACAAATATAGTGTAAAATTTTACATAATAAAATCTTTAATCTTTTATTATATTTATTCATATTTTTTCTTTCCCTTTTTCATCTTTATATCTTAAATTTTGGATTTTTTAAATATGTTATATATGTATGTCTCTCCTATGTGATAGAATTACAAAAACAATCATACAAATGCAAAGGATGAAATTTGATTTTATAGAATTTTACCTCATGAAAGGATAGATCCATAAAATAGCGAGAAATCCAATGAAACTAGGATGTCTCATATGCCTCATGTATCTGCGCAGCTCCTTGGATTTTGTATCCAATGGACTATTCTTTCCAGATACTCTGTACCAAACCTGTTTGAATCCACATAGTTCTGCAATGTCCATCATGATACATCCACTGTAAATAATACACCAAAAAAATACATGGAGACCAGAAAATAGTATCCAAATTGTATCATTGGAAGTGTCAATCTTCCAGACTGTTAGTGCTGGAGATTGCTGCCACTTATTAATCAGGAAATGAAGACTTGCAGAGCTGCAGGCATTGTAAATACTTCTGCTGAGATATTCAATATGTAGTTTAAAGAAAATATGTTTGGTAAAGTCATTGGCCATAATGGAGTGTTGAAAGATGAAAATTGTAAGGAGTAACATGTCTATTAGAAGGGACCACAAAGTAGACTGTATTGCGTTATCATCTAGAAAAGAAATAAAATTATATATAGGTTTAATTTTGCAGAAATTATTAATAGCAAAAAGTGTGTTTTTAAAAATAACAAATGTGTGTTTATACACACACACATACATGCTATATATATAATAGGATATATTTTTTAGTTATTCTTAGTTTGTGCAGCAATTTATATTAATAGTAGAAACAATTTATAAAAAAGATATAAAACCTTATAGAAGAAAACTTCACCTGATACTACGCGAAGACTTTCGTCTTTACTGTTGTGACTTGATAAGAAATAGGTCAAATTACATAAAATATAGCAAGTATACACAAAACTTGAGGCGCACACAATTATACTTAATACATTTAAAATCATTTTCGACGGAGATGTACGACATAAATAGGTTATGACGTATACAGTTTACGTTATAGAAAATCTAATTTTGTACACTCAATACTTGTTATAGGTTATTTTGTCACAAAAACGTGTAATTTTTTTGTAAATATGACACAACTCGTTTATGGATAAAGCCGTTATACACAAATGTATACGTCAATTTATGTCAATTTGCATGATCAATCCGGCCACATATCTAAATATCTAGACACAATATATCATATCCAATCCGAAAATATTTAGCATGATAAAAGTGCCCTCTCTAATCATTAACTTTTTTATGTTATATCACATGAAAATTATACAGAAAAACCCGTGTTTCTAGAGTGCTTTCCAATAAAAAAAAAAAAAAAGAAAAAAAAACACAAATAGACACTGTGGCCGGTATTCATAGTCAGTTCTTATATTTAAGATCGTCTTAAGGCCGTATTACACTACGGGTTGCGAGTTCGATTGCGGTTGGGGTTACGGTTGACGATTACGGATTGACCAATTAGAGTAAAGGAGCTTGCCGGTTGATTGGTCAATCCGCAACTATCAATCGTAACCCCAACCGCAACCGAGCCCGCAACCCGTAGTGTAATACGGCCTTTAAGTACAATCTTAAGATGTCATAAACCAATCACAGAGCCGTATTAGCATCTTATAGCGTTTTTGAATGAACGGGTTAGTGCCGGTCTACAATAGTGATTTAAGCTCTAAGCCTTAAGAAATTGACTAATCACAGTCGAGTATTCTCCTCATACTTGATCGTGATTGGTCAATTTCTTAAGGCTTAGAGCTTAAATCACTATTGTAGACCGACACTTAAGATGATCTTGAAGTAAGAACGGATTATTAGCATTTTCGAATGTAGCAGGTTTAATCGCTCTCAGAGCGATTAATGACGTCATTGCATCTCTGCCAATAAAAGGCTTGAATTCATAGTAAAATATAGTGATTAATTGAACCGGGTTGGGTTAACCCGTTCCTTCGAAAACGCTATATGAATACTGGTCTGTGTCTTCTTCTTCTTCTTTCTTTTATGGCTGGTTGGGCATTAGTCGCCAATACACCATTGTTTCTTATGGGTTTGTAGAATATAAGCAAAACTCCTCTAAGAGAGGAGGGAGTCCAAAAAAAGGTCCAGACAAAGGACATACGCAGCACGCAAAAACACGTCCGAACCCGACACGTTGTCAGTCGGAACTTTACTAGTCTGTGTCACACAATTGGCCATGGACGTAGGAAATATCTGGACAGAGCGTATTACCGTGGGATTGACGACAAAAGGGAAAAGGGATTGATAGTTCTAGTGTAAGGAATATGAACAACCAAGATGGCGGAGCAGCTAAAAATTGAACTGATTTTGGTCTATTGTAACGTCTTAAGCCCGAATCACACTAGCGGCTCGCGGCTGCGATTGCGATTGCATTTGTGATTGTGATTTGCTACGCTCCAATCATACTTGCAATTGGTGCTTTCCGATTGGCTGAGACAATCGCAATCGCAGCCGCGAGCCGCTAGTATAATTCGGGCTTAAAGCCTAACGCACAATACCAGGCGATAGCGATAGCGATAGACGATATCCAATGAGAGCACTGCTTTTTCGAAAAACTTTCAATCCGATCTATATGCTCAATATGTGTGTATATCAACGATTTGAGCAGCCATAAAGAAGATCAACGATTTGTAATAATAATTTAAACTCGCAGAAGATATTTTCGCTGTAAAAGTTAATATTTTTCAACAAAAATTTTTTATAAATTATTAACTTATTTATCAAATATGTAGAGAAGAGATTAAAAACTGATCAAATTATTTAAATTAAGTATAATATAGTTACAATTTTATCTTATTAACAGAATTTATAAGTTTTATTAATCAATTGAGTGACGACATAGGGCCAATTTCACCAAGTCCGGTTAGATATACCCACGGTTAAAATTAGCAGGGTGGCCAACAGAAAATAGAGGTGAAGGAAAAACAAGTATTCATATCATTTCAGTTGGATATTCTCGGAATAATCGACTGTGGTTGATCAATTTGCTTACGACTAACGACATACGACCAAATACTGTAGATAATAATACGTCCAACTCTTGAAAAATCCTTTGTCTTGCAAGGCAACCACTGAAACATCGCCATCTATTCATCTGAGGTGATAAACTCTTGCTTCATAGAGTGTTACTGGCTGGGTAACAATGTAAATGATAAATAAAAATGCGTATATAATTGTGATATTTTCTTTAATTTAACATTTTTTGTAATAATAAACCTTTTCTTCTTGCTATCATTAATTTTATTAACATAGGCTTTTAATAAAACGTTAAAATATTTGTCTAAAAATATTTTATAACAATCGTTACATATACACATATTTTCCTTAATATTACAATTTGATATTAATTTTGCTTTAACATTTGATGTACTTTCGTTAACATTTCCAGATTCCACACGATGCAAACGATCAGCTTTCATTAATATAATCACGAACCACTTAACTACGAGACAAGCGTTCTCCTCTACTAAAAAAATACTAACAACTCAGGCCGCGTGGTAGCGCTAGTGCGCTGTATTGCCTGTTTTTAATCGAAGTTGGACGTATTATTATCTACAGTATTTGATACGACTTATTGTAGAACGGGTCTTAGGAAACTTCTTTCTTTTTATATTATGCTATGACCTGTGGCAATAGTGAATGTTAGTTCCTGATATAATTCGCTCACATTAAATTTTGATAAAAATATACTCATTCGATTAATTCAATCAATACAACAAATTAAAATGGTAAGTCTTAACGCGCATCTAAAAATTCGTTTTTATCGGACACTCGTAGGTAGGTTAGAATAGCAGATCTGTATGTTAATAATGTAATTGCAGCCGAAGGGAAAAACAAAAAGATTTATCGACAAGAAGAATTCTGTTACGTTCCATCTGGTCCATCGGTCACAAAAAGATCCATTAGTGGCAGATGAAACGGCACCCCAAAGAGTTCTCGTGCCAGTTGGTGAAATACACGCGGCAAAAACAGAAAAAAAGACAGTAGACAGCGAAAAACGCAAAGAGGAACAGCAAAAATATGGGATTTACTTCGATGATGACTACAATTATTTACAACATTTGAAAGATGTCAATACATTATCAGTCGAATGGCAACGCATCGACAATACTAATCATATTAAATGTGACAAAGATGCTCCAAAAATTAACTTACCATCCTCTGTTTTTGCATCAAATGTTGAGGAAAAAGTTGGTATGCTTAATAAAGCGGCGCCAATCTCTGGACCACAATTGGATCTTGATCCAGATATGGTTGCTGCCATGGATGACGATTTTGATTTTGACGATCCTGAAAATCAGTTAGAAGACAATTTCATTAAAATGGCTAATGCTGGAAGTAGCGATTGCGAGAGTTCCGACAGAGAATATGGTAAATTTTCCTAAATTGAATAATAATATCTCTTGTGCTTATTTGATGTTTACAATTTTATATTTTTAGAATATGAATTGGATGAATTCGGAAATGAATATAATGAATCTGATATCTCTTCTGAAGGTAACATGAATTTAGCCGACGAGGAGACAGATGATGTACATAGTTTAAATGGACCTCAATATACTTTCAAGGAAGAAGAAACAAAATCAAAATTTACAGAATATTCTATAAGTAGTAGTGTGATGAGAAGGAATAAACAACTTACATTGTTAGATGATAAATTTGAACAGGTTTAAATTTTTATCTTTTTTGGTATGTTACAGTGTTATTGTACATGTATCCTAATTTTTGTTTTATTTATAATTATATAGATGTATGCTGCGTATGACGAAAATGAAATTGGTGCTTTAGATTGTGATGAAATAGAAGGATATGTAGCGCACGATTCGAATCTTATTCTGCAATATGCTGTTGAGTTTGAGAAAAAACGGAAAGAAGACGTAAGTATAATGCAAGGGTACAATGAAAAATGTACTAGCTTTCTTCGTATTTGCAGACAGAAAATATTGCGGAGCTTATGAAAGATAGAATGAAAATTGTGGAAAGAGAATATTCGAGTTCAGAAGATGATGATATAGAAAAACTCGTTGTCGATGCTCGTGAAAAGGATAAATGGGATTGTGAAAGTATTCTTAGCACATATAGTAACATTTATAATCACCCCAAATTAATTCCAAATCCTCCCAAGGTAAATTATTTTATATCATATATATATATATATATTGGTGATATTGGTATAACTTTGAAAATGTAAAGAAATGTTACAAAAATTTTACTGCAATTTGCAATTACAATGATCTAATTATATCTTTAAATAAGTGCCGTTTAACATAATTGTTGATAAATCAAATTGCTTAGTTAAATAGAATTGGAATATATTTGAATAATGTAATTAGTGTTCGTTTTAAAACTATGCGCATATAAGCCTCATACGTTTTTTACTTACCTTACTTTAAGATGAAATTGTTTTCATGCAATTATCATAAGGTAGATTGCACATTGGACATCTTTTATATGTTAAATTATTGCTGCATGTGTCACACGCACATAAATGTCCGCATGGTACAAATACATATAATGCTTTTTCACTTAAGCATATAATGCAGTTACCTGCTGGTTGTGGCTCTTTATTATCGTCAATAATTTTTTGTATATCATATATTTTATGAAATGTTATTTCAGGTGATGTAAGACTCTCATCCAAAAACGAATAATCATCCTCTGGTATTCTATAAATTTCTTCATCGTCTGTAAAAAAATATCATAATATTTATAAAAATGTAAAGAAAATAAGTTATTTATATCCAAGTAAATATTATTTATACATAATGTATTATTATGCAATGAGATTTATATGTATGTATGTATGTATGTATGTATGTATGTATATATATTTTAAACTCACATTTATTCTACTAAAAAATATTTGAATATATAAAAAGATATATTATTTTTTAAATTAAACTTATATTAAAGCTTTGTATATTTTTAATAGTGTTCAAAAAAGATTGAAATTGATCGAAAAACAGGTGTTCCAAAAAATGTATTAGGCAACACTGGAAAATTAACAGCTGAGGCATTAGCTCAATTTGATGCAATAGATAATACATTAAAAGGTTCACAATCCATAGCAGAAAGTAGAAAATCCACCTTAAGCATTTTAAGTATAAGACCTAAAGGAGAAACTTCCGATGCAAGAAAAGAAAGAAAGAAATTACTCAAAGAATATAGAAAAGTATGTAATATATTGTTAAACATTCAATGACTAATTTAATTAAGTTTTATTTACATATTACATAATTTTTGTAATTTTAGGAAAGACGGATGGAACGAAAAGCAAACACAGAGGCATTTAAAGAGGAAAAGAAATGTCAAGAAAAGATTAGGTTGAACAATAGACAAAACATTCATGGAAATCGTATGATATAGAACTTTCTACAGAAATAATATATGCTTTGTAATGATATGGTAATATATCTTTACAGATTTAACAATTTTGATTTTATATAGTATGTATGTATGTATATATATTTTAAACTCACATTTATTCTACTAAAAAATATTTGAATATATAAAAAGATATATTATTTTTTAAATTAAACTTATATTAAAGCTTTGTATATTTTTAATAGTGTTCAAAAAAGATTGAAATTGATCGAAAAACAGGTGTTCCAAAAAATGTATTAGGCAACACTGGAAAATTAACAGCTGAGGCATTAGCTCAATTTGATGCAATAGATAATACATTAAAAGGTTCACAATCCATAGCAGAAAGTAGAAAATCCACCTTAAGCATTTTAAGTATAAGACCTAAAGGAGAAACTTCCGATGCAAGAAAAGAAAGAAAGAAATTACTCAAAGAATATAGAAAAGTATGTAATATATTGTTAAACATTCAATGACTAATTTAATTAAGTTTTATTTACATATTACATAATTTTTGTAATTTTAGGAAAGACGGATGGAACGAAAAGCAAACACAGAGGCATTTAAAGAGGAAAAGAAATGTCAAGAAAAGATTAGGTTGAACAATAGACAAAACATTCATGGAAATCGTATGATATAGAACTTTCTACAGAAATAATATATGCTTTGTAATGATATGGTAATATATCTTTACAGATTTAACAATTTTGATTTTATATAATATATAATATAATATTTTATTATAAAACTATAATTTTTTTACATATCATTACCAATTTTTCTTCGCTAAATTTTCCTAATATGTATTGCGGACATCGTTGCATTATAGTAACCGAACAAGAAATTAAAATTAGAAAAGCATTGCTCTCTCTTATATAGTATTTAAAATTTTATTCGATCCATCGAATTATTATTGCACCAATAATATATAGAATTGAATTGTATCAAATGACTAGATTTAAAAGTCTAAAAGGCTAAGAATCGTGCGATATTTTCATTGTCGCGGAATTTCAATTTTATCACGTGGAGTTAATTTAGAAAGTCGTTAAGATTCGTTTGCGTATTTTTTGTTAGTTTTTTGTTAGCGTATTAGTTAATCCTCCGATTTTCGAATCGGATATTTTCGCGTAGAGTAGTAACGATAAGAATAAAAAAGTGGAACAACCACGTGAGAGTCATGAGAACGGAGCGCCATTGCAAGTTGCAAGGCGGGACAGAGGGCGGAAGCTCCAAAGTCATATGATCGATTCGTGATAGCTCTTGCTGTTCGCCGTTCGCCTATCGCCTATCGCACGTCGCACATCGCAAAGATGGCCAGCCAGACGCAGGGTATTCAGCAGCTTCTGACCGCCGAGAAGCGCGCTGCGGAAAAGGTCTCGGATGCTAGAAAACGTGAGTGCATTCATCGGCGGAATAGCTGACGTAAGAAAATATCCGCGACATGTAGACGCTTGCGACATTTAACCGCTCGATCACGAGACTGTAACCTTTCGGTCGTGATGTCAAACCTTTTCGAAAATGATATACTTACGTGACGAATTTTTGATATCTCGTTGGGGACGATGCTGCGGAGCATATAGAATAAATTTTAATTGAATATTCATGCATGCATAATTGCGATGTTCGCAGCGAGAACAGGTTTAACCTGCGCGTGATTTGTTTGTGTTATTGGAGTAATGGGATTTGCCAAGTTTTACTTAAATTTTATATTATTATTTTAATAATCTATTGAATACATAACTTTATTTAGTGGAGCTTTACGATTTCTCTTCAAAACTTTACTACTTATTTGCTATATATCGAGATTCTGTCTTAATCGTTGAATTTCTTTAGGAACTCTGATCTGAATCTGTGGTAATATTAATGAAATGGTATTAAAATGGAATTATAAGCCAGAATGTAACATTTTGTATAATTTAAAAAAAAATCTTGCATGTACTTGTAATTTTCTTTGTATTTTTATAGGTAAAGCACGCCGTCTGAAGCAGGCTAAAGAAGAAGCTCAGGATGAAATTGAGAAATATCGGCAGGAACGCGAGAAACAATTTCGTGAGTTTGAAGCCAAAGTAAGTATTATTTCTCATTAGTTTATAATTACATTGATGCATGTTTGTTTGTTATTAAATTTATATCATAATCTCCAATTTACTTATCAATTTAATCATGATGTTACTCATATCATTATAGCATATGGGTTCAAAAGAAGATGTAGCTGCACGCATCGAGGCAGATACACGAATCAAGATAGAAGAAATGAATCAGACCGTTGCTGTGCACAAAAACGCGGTAAGCCCGTAATGTAAATTTAATTAATAAAGATAATTATATGTAGAGAGAGACAATTATATGTGAGAAATTACAATATTTACTTTCTTTTTTTCTTTTACAATTTAGGTCATGCTTAAGATTTTGGACTTGGTGTATGATATCAAGCCAGAATTGCACAACAATTATCGCATTGAGCTCTAAGCCACAGGAATTGCATCTAATAGTTATAAATAATATAATATATATTAATGCTATATATAAATGTACACATTAAATATTACTGTTCACTTACACTATATCTTACGTATTTATCGCTGTTATATCGTATATGACGTGTTACATTTTATTGAAATAACTGTATACAATGTAGCTTTAGATAGTCATACTCAAACTATTACTAGAATCTTTTTTCCGCAATTGTTACACGACAACCATATTGTCCATATTGTTATTATCGCTGAGCTGTTTTTGTCGGCACGTGTTTGGATAGTTTGAGAATTGCTGTAATAAATCACATTGAAAAAAAAAAAAAAAGAAGTATGGATATGAAGTATCGTCCGGTGTGTCATGGCCTAGACACATTGGAACGATATATTATCATCAAGATAGATATGACTAAAGTGATCTAGGGTGATGGTAAAGAATTCTATGTTGTTATAAATGTATATATATTAGATGTCATTCCATGATTTCTGTCGCATCGAGGACGCGAAACTTAACAAGATTTTTTTTCTACAGCTTTTCGTGGTTTACGGACGCGCTCCCAATCGATAGTGAACCATGTAACGTTGTAGTAACATTTAAACTTATTTTATCTTTTAAAGCTATTGTGTGACCTTTCGAAATGAGTAACTTTGTCTCATACACATACACATCCTGTCTGTATAAGTTGATTGGTTGTCTGTACAGTATTATATAGTGTCCAAAAATAAAAAAAAAAAGGGGAAAATAAAATCCTAATATTCTTATACTCTCTTTCCACTCTTTAAGAAACTAAATAAAGAACTAATAAAGATATAAACTAAATAAAGAACTAATATTGGGTATACATATTGGGAAGGGGGATAAGATATAATATTAATATTGTTATATAATAGAATATAATTTAATATAACTAAATAAACACACACGAAAAAAGAGAGTAACTTGTATATTCAAGGACATATAAATATGTAGAAGACACTTATTAAATTTTTGCACAAATTGCATGTAAAGATGAATCTTGCCGCTTTCTCTCACGACTTGTATACGCAATACACGAGTATTTTATGCAATTATTATTTTATAATTTATGATTCAGGTCTCAAATTAAAATTCTCTCTTTGTCACAATAATATTGTATTTTGTCACAATTGTTTCAAATTATTGAATTAAACTCAAATGATAATAAAATCAATTATATTTCAATTATATTATTTTATAATATCAAAATCAAAATTTAGTCTATCTTTTTCTTTATTAAACGGACGATTTACAATGTATTAGATGAATAGATACAATCTAAGAGAGAAAGAGAGAGAGAGAGAGTGAGAGAGAGAAACACACAGGTTGCTTATTTACATTTCCTGTTTGCGCGTAAAGTTGCATGGAGCAATTGAACGCATAGGTATATAAAAAACATAGGTAGAAGATAGAGCATTATCTGTCAATATGGACAATAGAGAGTTTAGAGATAAGAGGCAAGCGATATGCACCGGAAACCGGAATGCGATCTTGTTCAATTTCTTTCGGATAGGTTCGGTTCGGCTGTATCATTGGCTTAGTTTACACCGATGTACTTTAAAGGGCTATGATTGGTCAGTATAGTACTTAATACGTATTAAAGTATATCGATGTAAACTAGGTCATAGACATATATAGACATATAGCCCAAGGCTCATATGTCTATGGGCTGGATACTCGTGATTGGTGGATTCCGAGCCGCGCCGAACTGCCCGATACACACCGAAGTTGTAGCATTGATCCCCCCCCC